GTCACAAACTCATGGCCTGAGCATCAGTCTTTTCTAGAAGGAAAGTGCAACCAGATCCTTCCTCTTTTCGTAGTTAGATCTCTTGTCGGCGAACCCAAAGGCTTCGGCTTCGCCGATAAGAACTCTGGATACGATATTAGGCTGATTTAGCAACAGAATGGGAACGTCATTTGACGACGGCAAAGCGCGCGAAAAGGACTAAACTCTGCCTCCTGTACCCAGTTTTCCGCTCAGCCATTGGTCAAGCCAGGTGCTTGATTTGCGCGCGCCGTCTTCAACTGACGTTCCCGTTAGTTCTGTTGCTAAATCAGCCTATTAACTAAGAAAGACCTGTGTTTCAACTTCCTGTTAGACATCATGGTTTCGTAGTTACATGCATGGTTCAACATTTACAGTTCATATCAGACTTCATCTGACGAATTCTTTGATGGACTCCTACCATGCATTGTCCCTTTTTTCTGTAGTATTGGTAAACTGTATACTTTATTGATATTGAGTGATAAGTTTAAAAGCTCTTAAAAAGAAAACGCATGTAAAATAATTTTTTCTTTTCATCGTCTCTTTCTTCTATGTTGTTACTTTTTAAGATAAACGGACAATTTGTTTTCAAAAATTTACATAAATATGAACCTTTTTTCTGTAAATTTAATTAAAATGGAAGCAGACAATGAAAAAGTACCTATAATCACTGGGAGTCGATACAAATTCAAAACAATTTCATCAACGTTGTTCTGAAAACTATCACTTTCTATTTTCTTCACTGATATTTTTAAATGGAGGAAATTTTAATACACAGTTAAGCGTTTGGTTAAAAATTTGTTTACTTTTTGTAATAAAAGAAATATGACTAGGCGAAAAAAATAATCGAGTTTTGATTTTATGCTTAATTAAGAAAGACATTAGGGTTATGTTTAAAACGTTTTTAAGTGCGTTTACGGCTTATATATATGTAATTTAAAATTTGTATACGGAGCTGAGCACCCATAAAATTTCTGCTCTTGTGCAAAAATGACTGCTCGTTTACTGTTTATTTAAAATTTGGAGTAATTTAAATATAAAGAAGCAAAATCTAAACATCACGCACCTTCCGTTTCAAGATCAGTATCGTAATCGCTATCGCTAACATCAACACCATGAGAAATTACTGGATCGGTTTCCGTTCCAATAAAAGTACCGTGTTTTATGAAGAAACCTCCGATGCTTTCAATCGGCATAGCTCCTTCGTCTTCGCTTTCTTCTAAAAGCACATCTCCCTGAAGGAAAACAAATTTTCGGTAGTGTCGTTGCTAAACGTTTAGTTTCATCCGCTTTCGATCGGTTCGACCCGAGTTGAGCCTAACCTTGAGGCTATATTGATCACTATCTCTTAAACTGTCAATCGGGGACTCCGAAATTGATTTAAGTCCACCTGAGGACATGATTTTAGCGCAGTTTTTGCTGCTCTTTTGTTGTCGTGGCTGTAGTGTTTAAACGTTTGTCAGCTGCTCAAGAAAATCGCCGTTGTCATGGAAATGGCACGTCCCCATTCATGACGCTGGTTACGCGGGAAACGGGCCGCGCGCCAACAAAACGCAGATACCGATTATTTAAACCCCAAGGACGAGTCAGTTCAGTCTTGTGAAAAAATCAGAATAACAAAAACAGACTAGGGCAAAAGATCAATACGCTAAAATTGCTACTTCGTCATCATTCACTTTTAGTATATCTTGTGTGTTGGATTTGAGAGCAATTCTTGGCGAGGGTTAGGGATGGTGTTAGTATGTGAAACTGCAAATGCTTTAATCCTTTTATTTCCTTTTTCAAGAAAACTCAACTGACTCAGTTTAGAAGCTCGTGTTGTCATATGTTAAAATACCGAATTTTACAAAATAAAAACTACACGCAAAAAAAAGTACTTATGTTCCATAATACTCTAGTTTCTAACTACGAAAGTAAAAGAAAATTGGTTTGAACTTTGAGAAATAAGGAAGTTACTCTATTGGTTTTTGATAAAATCCAACTAGTGGTCTATTATCAATGCTGAGTTCTGATTGGTTGAGCTACTACTGGGCTATATGTTATAGTCCCCTAGTAGCGAAAAGCGAGGGGTTTTTTGGCGGCAAAAAAGGATTAAAGTCTAGCTTTAACTAGCTATTTTTTTATTCTCGATCTTTTTGACCATGCAACTAGTTGGATTTTACTAAAACAATTATTCCTCTCGCCCTTATGGCCTTAGTCAATAGCTATTAACTCACAGCCCATTCGTGCTCGAGGAATAATTGTTAATTAGCCCCTCTAACAGAATACATCAGAAAACTGAGTAATTTTAGTTTTGAGTGGACAAAAAACTTGTATATGTTGTAGTTAATTTTTTATCTCAGGTAATTTTTATTTTTCCTTTGTTTCAACTTCGTTAGCATACATTATCATACCCAAAAACACAAGAAAAACAAAAATTACCTGAGATAAAAAATTAACTACAATATATACAATGTACCAGAAACATTTAAACCATACCGGGTTTTTCTTTTTGCCTACTAAAAAAGAAAGTTACTGAATTTCCTGAAGCCGGATTCCGTCTTAAAAGTATCGAACCCAAAGTTCTAACCGACCGTTAAGAGATAATGACCGGTCCTTTGTACAAATCTTTTAGCTCCACGAGAAGGTCATTCATTATGACTGCTCGTTTGGAAACCGTACTATAACACATGTCAAAAAGACTTTGTCAAAAAGGGTTTTTCATACCCGCGATATCCAGGAACCTCTTATCCCCAAAGGGACGAATCAATTCCTCTCGGAGCAGTCGTTCTTCCCCAAGATCGAACTAATGATGAAGCCGTTAGAATGTCTGCGTGGGGGGGCTATGCGAACAGAGGTTTATAAATTTGTCAAAATTCGAAAGGCGCGAGGATCACTTATACTAGCGCAGTGAAATCCGTTAATCTAAACCAGTTGCCTTACTTTTGAACCAGCGATTAGAAAGTTCCTTTGGCACTGGAAAAAAGGCAAGTGACTTGCTACCTTCTTCTTATCTTGCACACTTAGCAAGGGAATAGTTTGCAATCGTACGGACATTAGCCTCGACTGCAAGCTAGTTCCAGTCTACTGCTAGAAAGATGGAGAAAAGGAGAGTCCAAAAAAAAAACAAACAATCAAATGGAAGTCAATCAACGATGTTGAGAAACAAGATGAAGCTATTTTATTCTCACTTTTACATAAAAACATTTTAGGTCAATTGCGGGGGGAAGGAAACTTAATTCGGGTTAGCCTGAAATCATCCGATTGCTTCGAGTCGTTTTCTCCTGTCAACAACTGAGGGAGTAATAACGACTCGAAGTAATCGGATGAAATTCAGGCTAAATTCGGGTAGCACTTAAAATTACAAATCTTAACTAACAGGCAAGCTACTGTTGTAGCTGTTGTTGTTTTCTTTTTGACAACAAACAAAAGAAAGACAACTTTCTCAATCTCAGTTTACTATTCGTCTCTGTTTTCTGAAAACGAGTCACTATTCTTTTCCTTCCTTCAGTACCACAAATGGAAATTGCCTCTTAGTCATGAGTTTTCACTATTGTCCCATTACGCTAGTCCTGCAGCCACTATAACAACTTTCCTCACATATCCGCCCGGTCGGCACCACTTCAGTCCTTCTACTTCATGTGGCGTGTTATCCACTAAACTCTCGAGACAAAAATATCATGCCAGGTGATCCATTTGAGATCCACTTACACTCTTGGAGCTGAAATGAAGGTTAATTGAAAAATGAGTTACAAGAGTTGTATCTAACCATTGTTACTTCAAATATGTAATAAGGAGTATACAGCCAAGAGAAGATAGCCGTCATCCTTTCTTAATACAACTTTAGAGCAGTCTCTATGAAGTGTATCACGTGTACTACCACATCCATATTTCTTTGTTAGAAAATCACAATGAGTGAACAAGCTAAGAAAACATGTAGTGATGGCAAAATTTGAGTTAAATTCAGCGCGAAAAAGAAAACTTGCGTGCGTCAAAAAAATAACGTAGATTACAAATTAATTTAGGACTGTTGCAGGAGGATTCCAAATTAATAATTATGATAGAGTATCTTGGTTATTCAGTAATCCTAACCGTAGGGAAATCATAACAATATTGTAGTTCATAACCCAGTGCAGTTCATCATAATAACCAAGTTTCCAACTACATGTACATGTATGTTGTTTGACACCAGAAACTCATAAGGGGTTATGTTACCCCTTATGAGTTTCTGTTGATACTTAATAAACGGCATCAAAAAATACCACAAGTTATTACCTCCGTACGCATCAGGCATTCTCTCAATTGTGTACCTAGTATTGGGGCAAGAGCATAAAACAATTAATAATAAAAATATTTCTTAAAATAATAAGCCTGACGGTGCCCCTGAAGAGTGCTGCTTTCGAAAAAATGAAAAGGTATCAGCTTGCAACAGGAAGCCAGTGTAGATTGATGAGAAAGCCAGAAAGGGTGCAAAGGTGATGAGTCAGCTTGCATAATCAACAATGTAAAAACACTTTTTTCATTTTCTGTAGATATTAGAAAGCAGGCCAAAAGTGTTTGAGAAAATAGACAAGAAAAAATCCAGAGATTTGTAAAAGAAAATAAGAAGCAGTACTACAGAGTACAACAGACTGTGTTCAGGGGCAGATGGAGGATTTTATGATAGAGGGGGCCTAGAGATATAGTATACAGTGGCAACATGGCAATGATAGCGCCCATCAGGACTGCAAACGGTGCACTTTTCTAGGGAGTTTTGGGTGCATGCTTCTCCGGAAAAATTTTTGAGATTGAAGTTTTCTAAGATGCAATCTAGTGCATTCTGGACACTTAGATTTCGCAAATGCCTGGATTCTATATTGAACTATTTTATAAACCACAGGTGTCGTTGTGGTCAAAGAAGTAATTCACACTTTCTGATGCTACCACAAGCAGAAGCAATTGCGGCGAGAGCACAACCTCCTGGCAAGGACAACGTTCTCATTATCAAAATTCACTAAAGACAATATATGTAAGTAACAAATGTCAAAGTACCATCTAACACACGTTTACAAAAGAAAAAATTCCCGGACAAAAGGGGGGGGGGGCTGGGGTCCCCTAGGCCCACCCCTAAATCCGCCCTCGGTGTTTATGTAAAGTAGTTAAGCAGATATGATAAAGTTCTCCAAAATCACACACTGCATTAATCACAATCTTCACTGAGTCCGTAATGCATTTTGTTTACCAAGACCCCCCCCCCGCCAAATGTTGCATAAACATAGTCTTCACTTTCTCCAGGAGAAATTGGAAACAATGGTTATGTAAAATTTTGGGGGGTAAACAAGGTGCATTATGGTATGGGTGAAAATGGTCAATGCAGGTAACAGTACCTGTGTTGAGAAATGTACATTATGGGCACTCCTGGAACTTTGCGTATTCTTCTTTTTAAATCTCTGTCACATGTGGCTACAATGTAACACTTGTGCTGCAATAAACAGCATAGTTAAGTTTTACTTGGAATAGGCCATTTTAAAGTTGTTTGCTCATTGGCCTTGCTTTTGGCTCGAAGTAAGGCTAGCTGGTGGTGAACTGCTTTGTTACAAACCTTCCTGCCTTTCATTTGCAAATTATTGTGTTATTCTTATGCCAACAAGCCTGTGAACATGAGTCATTTTTATGTGAGCTACTGTGGCCGAATTCAAAGTTTAGCTTTTCAGTGTTGTCAAAAGTAGCTGGCTGCCAGTGAAAGTTGCCTCATACTTGGTTAGTATCGGCCAGCCACTCTGCTTAGAATTTCTTTACACATGGTGTTTTTTAAATAAAATATCCCCAGACAGGCGGCTTACTTTGACAACTCAGCCGTCTACTTCAAAACTTTCTGACAACCCTGCTTTTACTTCATCATGTCAAGAAAAAGTCAGACTCCCTTGCAGCTGTTTTTGTCTTCTCACACAATGCTCCTCCTGATGGGGAGGCTGGAGCACTGCATAAAATTACATAAATGAGTGCTAGAAAGACTAGTCAAGAAAGGAATGCATCTCACCCTAACCCACCATTACTTAAAGGCAGACTGAAAAGCTGTACACTTAGCATACAAATGTTTATCTAGCTAGTAAGATTCCCAGCCAAGAAAAATTTAAGATAACACTGTAAAAAGATTGAAAAATCCCCCTCCTTTTTAATATTAGTTAAGAAAAAAAAAATGATCAAAGGGGCAAACAATGCACTCTCTACCAGTGATCCTTTGATACACTGTCAATGTACATGTAGGCATCTGAGGATCTAAATAGGCCCACCAATAAATAATGCTGTGAATTATAATCAATTTACCTGCTGTATTCTGTTAACTATACAATCATCAGCATATGTTCCTTTATGCATGCATGGCAGACGATCAAAAGAGGGATCTTTAGCCATTCTTGTTGAAAAAAGAAAAAAGAGAGAAAAGTTCATGACTCAGTATAATGTGTCCGTATCACCTTGTATTGTTTAAAAAATTGCCATTTTAACCCCAGCCCCAAGTGGCTTAAGTTGTCAAGTATCAAGTAAAGACTCATTCTTCATAATCTATCCACTAAACTGCCCATGGAGTGGGGAAGTGCTAATTATACATTGAAGTCTCATGTTCAAAAAGCCACAGAGAAGATAGGTAAAGGTGAGTTTGGGGTCCTTACCAGCTACACATTTCTTGTAGCCTGTTCACAGACCCTCTATTTTCTCTTCAAAGTCCATCGAGCGTCTGTTATAAAATATAAACCGCAGGGGATTTATTGACCGCCGGCACAAGGGGGTAGGGGTGGGGGAAGAAGAAAATAGATGGTCTGTAGATGTCTTCAGATGTTCTTTATTTTTCTTTCTCATGCCTAGCGCTCGAAAAGAACAAAAAGAAAAATAAAACAACGTCTGTGTACAGGCTACATTTCTTGTAACATAGCAAGGAAGTTATCTTTATGACAGTATTTCAAAGAAAAGTGAAACTGAGTCACAGTAGTAAATTGCCTGCAAGCTGCACAATCCTTTGACCAGAGGCTTACAGTTTTTAGACATGCAGACTGGTCAAATAAACCACTTTCTAAGAAAATAACTTTTAAAGTGAATTTACCAAAACATTTATTAGCTGACCTGTCAGCAAGCTGCTGATTTAAAAACAGCAAAACTACATGCACCCATAAAGATATACTTATATCTCTATTATAACTCATTGAAATGACACTTATTCCTCATAGAGTATCAGAGGGTTCCCCAACAGGAATGTCCCAATCTTCATTCCTAGGTTCAAACCAGCCTTGGTATTTCTTCTCTTACATTACTACATGAGAAATTTCTCCAATCTGATTGGCTTAGAGCAGTGGTATTTCAGCTTAATTTGAAATACCTAAATGCGAAAATTACAAACCTTTTCCGGGTCACAGTATAAAGAAATAATAGCATGATTTGTATGTGATATTTGGCAAAAATACCACTTGTGATATTTCAAAATTGTCTCAAATTTCACCCGCCTAACGGCTCATGAAATTACGTATAATAATTTTGAAATATCACTTGTCGTGTTTATGCCAAATATCACTACAAATCATGCTATTACCTATACTAATCTTCTGATGAATCTTGACCATATTAATGTGATAGTGTTTGTGTGATTCTGATTCTGATTCTGTCTTAGTGCAGACTTGGGAAAGGAATGCCCATGATGACATGCAGCCTCATTTCAACTGTTCTCAAGGTCAAGCTCACTTTTTAACCTTGGCCTTCTCTCCTGAGACATAGGTGATCTCAGTGTAACAAAACCTCTTATCAGGGTATAATAATTTATACCTGAGAGCCACTCTATACTTTGATCCAAGTTTTTCTAATTCGGCCATCACACAGTCGGTAATGCAAGGAATACCTAAAAAATAATTTCACAAACTGGTTTTTAAGCAAGAACTTTATTCCACCATTTTGGCCATGTAACCCAAATGCATTGATCGTAAATAATGACACCTTCCACCCTTTACTTCCAGAGTGACAAAATAACAACACAGCTTGTACATGTACATGCACATAATTGTGTTACGCACAAGTTAGTATAAATGAAAACTTGGAATATCCTCCAAGTATCAAAGGAACAAAGGCAGTTCAGTTATGCAAGGGAATCACTGAATCTCATAACCCAGTGCAAATCATCATAACTGCTACTAAACTAACACAACACAAACCCACACAACTAGTCAAACATCTCATTGTCATATTGACACGTTGTTACTGTATGTATATGATCTATGTTGTGGTTCAGTTTTATCCTTGGTTTAAATTTCATTTCCTTCTGTTTTAAAGTCTAAAACAAACGGAAAAAATTATACCAAGGTTGAAATTGAACCACAACATATAGACTGAAAACAAAAATCAACAACCAAGTAATTACTTACATTTTGCATATAAGCAATCCATCATAGACTTGACAATATCCAGCTTATTCTTGATTGAGAAGTTGATAAAATTGGTATCAACCAAAACATAGAATGGAGGCCCAAGCTGAGTGTTATATTGAAAGAATAGTGCAGATGATGACTGTTCTCTATATAAAAGGGGGAAAAAAGGAACATTAGATTATTGTCATAGGTTTTCGTTCCATTTATTATTACTGTATATTAAATTGACATTGTTCGTAATTGACTTTGAGGATCAAAACCAAAAAGGAACTATTGGGACTTTTCAATACATTAGAATATACAATACATTTTTAGATAAGAAGCTTTTATCCATGAAATCTTATTTGCAGACTATGATTTTAGCAGCCTCCCTTGAGGAACAGCCAAGACAGCTTAGTGACCGCTCAATGTGATACGAAGAAATTGAACACAAAAGTAGATTTGCTCAGGACAACAAAAATGAACATATGATTTTTGTTTCTCTATGGCACATTTTTGTTTTGCATTTAGGGAAATTAGCTATTGTATGCATAAGAATGTGATCAATTTTGAGATATGCCCTCATTCATTGACTGCAGTCCATCAGACACACTGACTGTGGGTGAAATGACATTGTTTCAACAAGGCATAACTTTTGGGAAAATCGCTTGGTTAACCTCAATACTGACAGTTCACAAAGTAAAATAACTCCTTTCGGTGATCAGCTCCATTCAAACAAGGATTGTATCATGTCTTTATCACTTAGTTACTTCTATTGACGGGACTCCTCTAAAACAGAGACAATAATGTTCTGAACCTGAGAGGGCTCCACTGGATCAGTTACCACTAGCGAGGGGACCCCATGATTATTCATGTCAGTGTCAAATGAAGAAACCTGATCATGATTAGCTCTTCTACCTTTGGTATCTAGAAACCCCAGCTATTTACCATGTTAAATGTCATGGGCGGTTTCTTTCTTCTTTTTGATATTACCATAGATATTTCCCATGGTAAATTTATCTCGGGAAAGTCCGGTCACACGCATCACTCCAATTTCTTACGTTAAAAGGGTCAATTACCATGGTAAAAGTGTCTCTTGTAACTGCACCTAATAATTATATTTAAGTTCATAAGACAAAAATTACAGAAGTCCTTACACGTGTCGTATTTCTTTTTCTTCATCCTTCTTCTTTTTCTCTACTTCTTTTTCCTGGATTTTCTTTCTGATAAAATAAGTCGGAAATGCAGTAGTTATGAGAGTTCCTCTGCTGAAATCGCCCATGGAATACAAGATTACAAGTAAGAACACATAATCATGTTAGGGTAATAATAATTATACGAAGTGAACGAACTCACATTCTTGTATCCTTTGGAGAGATCATTCGCTTTACAGCGGCAAATTTTCTTGTCTTTTTTGCCTTACCCTGAGTAATTAAATGATCTGTTAAGCGGACAACTTTGAAAGAACCCAATGATATGGAATAAAGCTCAAAGAAAGAGACGCATTTCTTACCATAATTCTTGCAAACAAAACGGCGACAATGTGGATAATGGGAACCGAGTAAGGCCTGGGCTCCAACACTATAGGAATCATATATGAAGTTTCTTCCGCATTGTTGGGAACCACCGCTGAGTCGTAAGTTCCGTATCGCTCGTCATCTTGTCATGTCACACCCGATTCACACGGAGGGTACTGGGTATCACCCGTAAAAATGATGCCCAAATTACCGGGTATCACCCATCAAATTACGTACTATAGTACGACTAAGTCAACGACTAATGTGGATGGTGCAATATGATGGATAAACGTGCATGTAATTCACCTTTATCCCTCATATTACACAATCCGACACAGCACATTGAGGTTAGATTACGTTTAACGTGCAAAGCAGTATTTAATGGGCCGGTAAGTTGTTTAAAAGCCTTTATTTTGTTTTCATAATATTTTATTCCTTTACGTTTTTCGCCTCGTAGTCGTTTTGCCTTGCAGTCAGCCCATACCCGGCCACTTATTTATAATAAGTTTGTTCTGTTGTTGACCAGTTCATTTGGTTGCAGGAAGAAGCGCTTTAAGGCTGAAATTCAAGTTCGCTATCACGATCAGGACACTGCAGTGAGAAGGAGCGAAAAGCTTATTACCGGTAATGGGCTGTATTAATGTGACTAATGTTGATAAGCAAGATGGTCACGACGATTTCAACGTGGATGTAGGTGATTTGTGCTGAGGATTTCGATGTCAGCGATGAGCCAGCAATATCTTCATCTGTAAGCTTAAATACTCGTCATTATGAAAGATTGCAAAGAGCAGAAGATACATGGGCTAAGTTACGGCAAGCTGCTCTTTCGACCACTTTCTAGAAGGAAGGTTCGTTTGTGAACAGCACGTTACTGAGGTGTCACTTCTGTGACTCGGAAAGTGGCATTTGTCGTTCCTTGGACTGTAGTGCAACAGCAAAGTTTTGTGAATTTTGTGCTACATCAGTGCACACCGAAGTAAATATTCTCCATAGTATGGAAATTCTTAAGGTACGTAAGTTGGTCTGAAGGTTTCCACAACAGAGTAGATTCGTAGCTGCCAGACTCTTAATTACCTGCTTCACCCGGCTGCTTTAAATCTTTGTACTTGTAAAGCTGATGTTTATAAGCTTAAAATAGCCCCAGATTTTATTTGTCATTTTTCATCTTTGAACTATGTTGCTTGTCAGTTATTACAATGTCTTTTAACTGGAGTATTTACCAAATGTTAATATCTGCAGTAGCAGGCCAGGTTTTGCTTTTAGATCCTTAAATTATGTGCATTAGAAGCTCATGGTTTCCTTGGTTGTTATTTTTTTTAGTATTAATGAAGCTATATCGTGCTTACATTGTAAATTACAATCACTTTTGACCACCTTGCCAGATCAGAGATTAGTTTCTCTGAGAGCAAAACAAACAAACGTTAAGCTCGGCAAGATAGGATCGGAGAAAACTAATATCATTCATGTGTATCACTTAAATTAAGGATCATGCAGGGGAGTTTTAAATCAAATCACTTTGGTTTATTAATCTATTTAAACACTAAAACAAAATGACCTGTTAGTCAATTAATTAATGTTTGAATTTTTATTCTTGGTTTAATACATAAAGTGCCATATACTATCATGACTTATTGTTATTCTAGGAGGAGAATATAATTATATATTTCCCTTTGATCTTAGCAAGAACCCTGGTGCTGAACGGACATCAGTGCCCATCTGTTCATTTTCGTAATGTTTCTACCGTAGATTCTCGAGGTAAGGAAAAAAGTCTTTTTATGTGTCAACCCCATGCATGATCTAGTAAAGCAGATCAGATGTAGCTCTAAAGCTGTTTTTTGTGTTTGTTCAATATATATGTATGCGACTTTGCTTGTAATTAGTTAAACATGTAATGGAAAAATGTACAGTATAACACTAAGCAGTATGCAATTTTATATTAACAAAAATGTCAGACATGATGTACATCCCTAATATTAATGTACAAAAAGACGGAATAGACGTACTGAACCATAGAAGAAAACTGTAATTTTATTGTGACCAACAGTCAACCAACAGGCAACCTGACAGTGGGCCAACTGTTTATCAACTGTCGATCAACAATTGGTCGACAGATCTAGATACAATGCATACCATGGGTATGAATTGTCATGAAAGTACTTATATATATATTAGCCTGTTGTTTGGCTACTTGGTTTTTATTGTTTTCTCTGATTTAATCTGGTGCCTATGGTGTATTAATTATCTTTGACATGTATGCAAGTGTTTATATATGTGCACTGATCTGACTGCAATTGTTGTTTAACAATTACTCATATAGCATGAACATCAGTTAATATCCCTTTTGTTTTTTCTTTCTTACAGGATTTCAAGTGGTTGTTGCTGCTCAGTTTGTAGTTGTGAACCTGATTTTTTACGTCTACTTAGGTGCAATTTTTGGGTGCGAGACTTATTTAATAAGTAAGACTTATTTAATATAATATTATAGTAATAGACTTGTTGTTTCCTTATATATTATTCAGTGAAGTGGAGGTGGCTTGTGGATATTTAGCGAGCTGCATTTGAAGTGCTAGGTTAGGTGAATAGTATTGTTTTACTATGTACACACTGTGCTAAAACAATTACATGATATATAATTGAGCTCACGAATGAAACAGAATTTAATTGCCATCTTTGTGAACGTCCAGATCACAGCTTCTTCATTATAAATATGGTAGCAGAATAACTGGTGTGAATAAGCACTGGGTGGCTTGAGTAGCCAAACAAAGAGCAAAAAGCATCAATTATATCCATTTGTTAAGTGTATAATGATACTTACTGTCAGTAGTTGATATTTTTATGTCACAGCTGGTCTCTCCTATATAAAGATGAAGCGAAGCTCCTAGCTAATCATAGTGCTCTATTTTCAATAATCATCAATGTAGTTATGCTAATGGTATGTATTATGATATCAGTGGTTGACATTACCTTATTGTCGATTGGTGGTTGGATAGTTATCGCTGTAGATGGTCAGTGATTCGTCAAACCTGATCATGGTATTGATGCTACATGTGTATGAGAGGTGTGGCTGCCCTGAGAATAACCAATGGGATGTGAACTTTTTATTACAACATTCCTTTTGTAGACATCTTTTAAGGGAGTTATTACATGTAACACTCTTTCCCATGTGGTGACCTGTACATTGTACTACTGCATAGACAATATTTAACTCTGATGGTTCACTAACCATTAGGTTACTTCTCAGCATTTTGTATTGTATTGTCATTTTGAATCAGGCTGGAACGCGTTTTATTTGAATTGGAGAACACAGATGGTGTAAGTCAGCGCTGTACCACTTCTTGTGTGGAGTATACAACGGTATGAGATGCTGCTTGTGACAGAAGCAAAAAGGTGGCATTGGTCGATCTGCATACTAAAGTTATTGAGCGGTGGTTCTTGTTGAGTTTGATATCATTTGATATATGATAAAAAATGTAATCATAACTATAACAAAGTTCTCAAATCTGACTGGCTATCAACTGTCCTGATTTCAAGGACAGTACGCACCATCACGCGCGCGCTTAAATGTTTTTTTTTTTTTCATTGCTAGCCGAAAAAAGATTGGAATTTCTTGTGTTTGGATTTAAAAAAAGAGCCTTATATATCACAAGTTTTGTTAAAGTTATGATTAATTTTTAACAGAACTTCCTGTGGTCCAATTTGGTCTGTAATCATGCTCATGATTAAACAAATCAAACTCCCGCAACTCGGTCCTCCGATTTTGTTAAGCACTCGTATGATTACAGACCGAATTGGACTCCACTCAGTCGTGTTACCATTACTAATTGTTGCGGTTATGATTCCAAGCTGCTAGAACGCATTCTTGAGAAACAAGGACATGGTCCGTTTTCATGAAACGTTTGATTTTAGTGACTCATTAAAAGAAGTGTCTTTATGATTTCTTTAAACCTGCCATCACGGCGCTATCAACGTAGTACAGTTTTGCTTTGTCGAAAATATAGGCCAGGGCATAAAATAACTTGCTAGTCCTGATGCTTTTGGGCTCGAGGACTAGACAAGTGTCAGGAATTTCCCGTCTTAACATTACGGGGTTTTGTCTTTTCACTTACTGTTTGATTTTATCTTTTTCTTGGTTTTTTCTTGAACTGTCTTCTGTCCTTATCACTTAGATGGCCATGACCTTTCCAAACGGCTTTCCAAGCAGATTTGTCCAGCAACAAAGAGCATGCGAACCGCTCTAGATAAATTCAACAACCTAGAATGCAGTAATGCTTGCCCATTCCCACGCTCCTTGGAGTTCGATCAAGTGAAGAACCCGCAAGCAGACGTTTGGTTACGATCGGAGTTTGTTGGTTCTGACTCGCCAGTACCCATAACCCAGGGGCACCCAACGACAATTTTCGGAAAATATCTGTTCGGAAGACGATTTGTGATCTAGAATTTTCGGAACATTTGTTGTAAAATTTTTTGCTTGCCTGCCTCTCCTAGGATTTTCGAACATCTAAAAACTACTATAATTGCCCATTTTTAACGGATTTTTATCCTCAAAAGGTCACCTAGAATTTTCGGGAGCCTTTTTTCCGGCTGAAATTTTCGAAAATGTAAGTTTTGATCCCTATAATTTTCGGATCACTAGACTTTCAGCTAGGAAATCCGAACAGATGAAAAATTTTTAGGGGATAAAAATATGCCTATATCTACCCTTTAAATACTAAAATACGTTTAACAATGCTTTGTTTAAGTGGTTTTGAACTATATTCTCGTTGGGTGCCCCTGATAACCGTTAGACGTAGAGCAATCGATCTGTACTATCTGCTGGATAGAGCTAAAGAAGAGGTGACCTTACTTCAGGAAGAGATGAGAAACGTAGTTGAACACTTCAGCGGGCAGCACGCGACGTTTTCCAGTTCGTTAAAAGATGCCACGATATCTCCTTTGTCCTTAGAGGAGTTAGGGAAAAATATATTTCCGAAAATGAAACTGGTGTCTTTGGAGGGACAGCTTTTAGAGGTGAAAAGAGTTTTCCAAGGTCACATCGGAGAAGTCCCTCTCCCGAACTTAATTTTTGATCGAAACAGTATTCCGTTACAGGACGATGAAAACGAGGCTGACGAAGTGTCTGAGTTGTTGCTAACCCTCCCGGAAACAGATGAGGATGAAGTGGACAGTGAAAAAGAATGCGAGAGCGATTATGACGATACCGACAGCACTTTTTTTAGTTCTTCGGGAATATTGCTTTAAACTAGAAAAGCGTTAACTATTCCACTATATTTCGGGCTCCTCTGGACCTCCGCAATCCTAATGTCCACGTTGCTAGTCTGCATGAATTATAGGGCGAAGTACGCATTTGGGGCTCTCAATGCTCCCATTTTCTAGTAAATGAAAATCGTCAAGCACCTGAATCAATTGTTGTGAAATCGTTGTTTTCCTACTAGTTCTCATCGACTATCGTGCCAAGAACGCTTTTCTCGCTATTTCATCCAATTTTCTAATGAATGGGAAAATCCTGCTCCTTAATATCGCGCTTTCAAATTAGTGTGTGGGGTAAACATGCGTAATTTTTCCTGGTTAGCTGGAAATAAGTGTGTGTGTTTCAACAGCTACAGTAGACAGACACATAAAAACCAAGTGGATTCAGGGGCACTAAAAAGGAGCACGGAAAATACTTTTTAGGCTATCCCAAGTACTTTTAGATGTCTTGAAATGCCTTGCATTCTAAGCGGCCCTATATAATTTGTATCTATTCGGAGCTCCTAGAAGAAATTGAGTCTTTTCGAAATTACGAGGGTTTTAGTATTATTTTCCGAAAGAGATATTTTACAGAAAACAGTCGTTGGGTGCCGCTGTTTGTGGATTGAGAATCTCCTGTTATAAATTTGCAACTGTCATGCCAAAAATACAAGAACCTTTTTTGGCCAAGTTACTTGTAGGTTAAGAAGGTTGTTAAGTGCGTGTTGGAGTTTAATTATCCTAAACGTTTTAACCAATGAGTTTGGATTTGAGAGTGCATATTTATATTACATGAAAATAAGGTCACGGTAACAAACTGTATTAAGTAATAAAAGTATCAATGTAAAAAAAGGTTTATAAAAAGACAAAATAAGTACATGCTGTAATTTTGTCTTCATAAACGGGCATCGTATAAAGGAGATTGCAATGAATATTTGTCGATAAATATTGTCTATGTTGAAGTTACTTTTTATCTCAGTTATTTTTTTTGGTATGGTAATGTATGCTAATGAAGTTGAAAAATGAAAATTACCCGAGATAAAAAAAAATTAACTTTAATACGTATAGATGTCAGGACAAGACTCACGTTTGTTAATTTTTTCTATTAGTCAACAACTATATCTCTTTTATAGAAATTGAGAATTCAACTGAAGAGAAGTACCTCTAAAATACAAGAACCTAACTTTGATCTCCTAACCTAAGGATCCCCTCAAAAATAACGGCTATGCGAAAGTAACGTCAATTTGCTACCTTCCGAGTAACCCCGAAAGTAGCTACTTGTAAGGCCCCAAGTAGCAGCCCTTTAAAAATTACCCCTCAATTACAACTTCAATAAAGTTGTTTATTGAATTTCTTTCTTTCTTGATTTAAGCAACTGAAACGGGAAAATATCATTCTTTTGAAAAAATTGGAAGTTTTCCATCAAATCGGTCGTTATTAACTAGTTATCGCATTTTGTGACCTATGAGGATAAGTCATGACTTTGAATGACTTGGTAAAAAAATGAGTGGTTACGGAATTTTTTTACCGGATAACCGAGAAAATATACAAAAATTACCTTTTTGTCGGGATTTAGTTGTGTGTACATCGTTTCTTTTATTGAATGTTGAACCAGTGCGCTCTTTTGATTTTTCAGGTTATTTTCCGATACACGGCAAAAAGGCTAGCACTTCCACGGTTGCCGTAACATCGGGCTGTTTCCGCCAACAATGCATTTAGGGCACTTCGATCCCATTTTGCATTTAAATCAGGTTGTTTCCTTCATTTTGCATTATGGCACTTTAATGCTTTGTCGTAAAATCTGGCCGTTCCCTCTAGTTTCCATGAAAGGTTTGCTCAACAGTGCATTTTAGGCACTTAGATGCTTTGCCACGAAAGGTTTGATCAAAGGTGCATTTTTGGGTCCCCTTACGTTTGCATGAACGACAGGGTCAACAGCGCATTTTTGGGCACTTGGATGCTTTGCCGTAAAATCGGGCCGTTTCCTGTAGTTTCCATGAAAGATAGGGCCAGCAGTGTAATTTTGGGTACTTAGATGATTTGCCGTAAAATGGGGCCGTTCCTTTCAGTTTCCATGAAAGACAGGGTCAACAGTGCATTTTTGGGCACTTAGATGCTTTGCCGTAAAATCGGGCCATTCCCTCTAGTTTCCATTAACGATAAGGCCAGCAGTGTAATTTTGGGTACTTAGATGATTTGCCGTAAAATGGGACCGTTCCTTCCAGTCTCCATGAAAGACAAGGTCAACAGTGCATTTTTGGGTACTCAGATGCCCTGCGGTAAAATCGGGCGGTTCCCTCCAGTTTCCATGAAAGACAAGGTCAACAGTGCATTTTTGGGTACTTAAGATGCCCTGCCGTAAAATCGGGCCGTTCCCTCCAGTTTTCATGAACGATAGGGCCAGCAGTGTAATTTTGGGTACTTAGATGCCCCGCCGTAAAATCGGGCCGTTCCCTCCAGTTTCCATGAAAGACAGGGTCAACAGTGCATTTTTGGGTACTTAGATGCCCCGCCGTAAAATCGGGCCGTTCCCTCCAGTTTGCATAAAAGACAGGGTCAACAGTGCATTTTTGGGTACTTAGATGCCCTCCCGTAAAATCGGGCCGTTCCCTCCACTTTGCATGAAAGATAGGGTCAGCAGTGCAATTTTGGGTACTTAGATGCTTTGCCGTAAAATCTGGCCGTTTCCTCTAGTTTCCATGAAAGGTTTGCTCAACAGTGCATTATAGACACTTAGATGCTTTGCCGTAAAATCTTGTCGTTCCCTCTAGTTTCCATGAAAGGTTGGATCAAAGGTGCATTTTTGGGTTCCCTTACGCTTGCATGAACGACAGGGTCAACAGCACCTTTTTAGGCACTTAGATGCTTTGCCGTAAAATCGGGCCGTTGCCTGTAGTTTCCATGAAAGATAGGGCCAGCAGTGTATTTTTGGGTACTTAAATGATTTGCCGTAAAATATATGGGGCCGTTCCTTTCAGTTTCCATGAAAGACAGGGTCAACAGTGCATTTTTGGGCACTTAGATGCTTTACTGTAAAATCTGGCCGTTCACTCTAGTTTGCATAAAAGACAGGGTCAACACTGCATTTTTGGGTACTTAGATGCCCTGCCGTAAAATCGGGCCGTTCCCTCCACTTTGCATGATACATGGGTCAGCAGTGCAATTTTGGGTACTTAGATGCTTTGCCGTAAAATCTGGCCGTTTCCTCTAGTTTCCATGAAAGGTTTGCTCAACAGTGCATTATAGGCACTTAGATGCGTTGCCGTAAAATCTTGTCGTTCCCTCTAGTTTCCATGAAAGGTTGGATCAAAGGTGCATTTTTGGGTTCCCTTACGCTTGCATGAACGACAGGGTCAACAGCACCTTTTTAGGCACTTAGATGCTTTGCCGCAAAATCGGGCCGTTGCCTGTAGTTTCCATGAAAGATAGGGCCAGCAGTGTACTTTTGGGTACTTAAATGATTTGCCGTAAAATGGGGCCGTTCCTTTCAGTTTCCATGAAAGACAGGGTCAACAGTGCATTTTTGGGCACTTAGATGCTTTACTGTAAAATCTGGCCGTTCACTCTAGTTTGCATAAAAGACAGGGTCAACACTGCATTTTTGGGTACTTAGATGCCCTGCCGTAAAATCGGGCCGTTCCTCCACTTTGCATGATACATAGGGTCAGCAGTGCAATTTTGGGTACTTAGATGCTTTGCCGTAAAATCGGGCCGTTCCTTCCAGTCTCCATGAAAGATAGGTTCAACAGTGCAATTTTGGGTACTATAGATGCTTTACCGTTAAATCGTGCCGTTCCTCCAGTTTGCATGAAAGATTGGGTCAGCAGTGCATTTTTTGGTACAGTCGAACCTGTATTTAACGGCCATGTAAGCGTCCACCCTCTAGTAAGCCGCCAGTTTTCAAAGTCCTGCTTTTCGCTCATACAAACCCTGTATTTGTTACCTGTATTATGCGGCCACCCTGTAGTCTGTGTAGTAGTCCTATGTTTGTCTTTCTTTGTTATTTTTAGTTGTATTTGGCGGCCACTAAGCGATATGTCATTCTATGCATTATTTCATGGTGTTTAAAATGCGATCCATCATGACTATAGAAAACTAACATGTACAATCCCGGGGTACAAAGGTACTCTAAGCTGATACTCAGGGCGTTTAGTATCATTAACGCTTTTCAGATGTCCTCAGATTTATTGCATAGTACTTTTACATAATGTTACGTATTTTATACCGTTAAGGTACCAGTTGGCACCGAACTTTGTTTCAAGTATTGATCGCTTGAAAGAGTTTTGATTGTCGTATTGTTTCCTTGGCATTAAAACACGCCCGGTGAGTTTTCTTTTATCCTGTATTAAGTGGCCAGTTCCTCAAGTCCCGAAGGTGACAGTTACACACTGGTTATATACAGGTTCGACTGTATTTGGATCCTATTTACTAGTCTATGGCAGTTAGTCTGGCGCTTCGATGACCTGGCGAACAAACAGGCTGTTCCTTTCATTTTGCATAAAATATAGGGCCAACGATGCCTTTTTGGCACGTAGATCCCATTTTCAAGTAACTGGAAAATTGCCTGGCACTGATAGCGGCCGTAAATTCAGAGTGTCCCTCCTTTTTTCATGAAATGTAGGGTCGAACAATACATTAGTGGTACGTCTCATTGTCAAGCTAATGTGAAACGTTCGTGTACTTTACTGAGCTGCCAATTGCCAAGTTTGGGTGTGTTCCTCTATTTTTTATGGGATATCATTGTTTAAGACTGCGAAATCACCTGGCAGTCCAAATGAATTGTTGAGAAATCTGTTTCCCTCCACTAGCTTCACTTCTTCGTGTAATATTGGGACAAATGCGCTGGCTCCCTTTTCGTGATGCATTGCGTTAAAACGTCTGGTCTTTGAATGAGTTGCTACGTAATGAGACCCTATACTTTCATAGAGTATTCTGTACTTGTTTGGGCTGCCGTAAATTGAAATTGTTTGTTTTTCACTTTAGTTAATCGGGGCAATGCAGCATGTTTTATTTATTCGCTCGCCACTTCGATGAGCCACTCACACGACACACGTGTATTACTTTGAATATTTTGTCTATTATTTTTTGTATTTGCAATGACTAATTAAAACATCATTTAGGCTAAATTGAAATACATATCTCTATACAACTTTAATTATTTGAAAATGAAGGAAATAGAATGGGGATCAGTACAAACTGTTTGTGCTAACTCACTCGTCCCTTGCAAAAATAATCAGTTCGTGCAAGATCACTACTACCACAAGGATTATAATTTACTCTATATTAAATGTACGTTACAGATGTACTACACATTACTGGGAGCCTATATCATATTAATCAATATTTCTGAAAACGTTGACTTCACGCTTATCTAAAAACAGAAAAAACTAGTGACCTACCCCCCAACCAAAACCAGTAACGTTGATGTGGATAGGTACATTAGAGAACATTGGCTTACCACTTTTGTCAGAATCTCCAAAAAATCTTCGAGATCGAAATGTGAGTGAATGAAAGAAAATAAAGCACAAGCTAGGAAGCGACGCCGTGAAAGAGCAGAGGAAAATTGTGAGAGAGTGTTCTCCGCAATCAGTCACTCATCATCTTATGGTGAAGTTATAACCTCCGATCATTGTAGTTGGATAGGCCTTAACATCTTAACAAAGAGAGATGGTAGGTGGTTCTAAAACTATTAATAAGTAAAGGTAAATTTACAGTGGATTGCTGTTTAAACAATCAGAGCAAACGTGACCAGTTGTATTGGGTGCTATAGATGATAGTGATGATGATGATGATGATGATGATGATGATGATAACGAGAAGGAGGACGAGGACGAGGAGGAGGAGGATGGTAATGCTTCTGAGGGTGATGGTAATGGTGAAGATGACCAAAGATGATTAGAAGAAGATATTAAAAAAGATGTTAACATAACTTAGGTTTATGAACACACAGTAAAGCTTTGTTCTAGATTTTATACTATAAAAAGTTTCCCGCGTGACTACTCTTCAGAGTTAAAGACTGTACATAAATAGAAACAAAATATTTAAAATCTGAATTCCTGTTGTCATATAAAGTTGGATTAATGTGGAAAATTAGATTTATTGTTAAAAAAAGATTTTACTAAAGTTTGTAATGATATGTGAATAATTTCACATGACCCACCCCTAATGCAGTGCATTATTTTTCCCTGACCGACCCTTTTTAACGTGTTAAAAAATAGTGACCCACCCCCAACTTTTCAAAGCCCCCACCCCTTTGTACTTTATGACCAGTCCCTAAAGTAATTCAGGCTTTTCACAAATTAAATAAAAACAAAACATGAATTTAAATTTACCGAAGGGTAGATGTTGTGTTTAGCAGTTCACATGTAGTATTTTGTGGTTTCTGATCATCCTTTTATCACATATTCCATTTTCCCATTTGTTCTTAATTATTTTATTCAAATTTTATTTTCGAAGGGGGCCTCAGAAATCCCCTCATTTGATAACGATAAAAGATGTTAAAAAGTCCGCTCTGAAGAATTTCTCGCTTAACCTTCGTCTTCATCGTCACCATCTCGTTCTCTTCGCGCCGTCCCAAGACCAGATTTTTTCGTTAAACGTTTCTGTTTCTCGATTCTGAATAGTTTGATGTTAATATCATAGAGATACATTTCATTTGGAGAGAACTGCAATAAAATTTCTTCCTCGAATTTGCTCGCCTTAAAAACGCCCGTGGATCTACATCCTATGGGATGTCACACACGCTGCACTCGCCATTCCAAAATTCTTTACTTTGCGCCCTTGGAAGACCGGGTTTTTGGTTTAAACGTTTTTGTTACACGATTCTGGATAGTTTGATTTCTATATCATAGAAATACATTTCATTTTGGGAGAAATGTAGTAAAATTTCTTTCTCGAATTTGCCCGCCTTAAAAACGCCCGTGGAACGGCATCCTATAGGATGTCACACACGCTGCACTCGCTATTCCAAAATTCTTTACTTTGCGCCCTTGTAAAACGAGGTTTTTGCTTTAAACGTTTCTCTGACACGATTCTGAACAGTTTGATGTTAATATCATAGAGATACACTTCATTTGAGGGGAACTGTAATAAAAAGTTCCTTCTCGAATTTGCCCGCCTTAAAAACGCCCGTGGATCTACATCCTATGGGATGTCACACACGCTGCACTCGCCATTCCAAAATTCTTTACTTTGCGCCCTTGGAAGACCGGGTTTTTGGTTTAAACGTTTTTGTTACACGATTCTGGATAGTTTGATTTCTATATCATAGAAATACATTTCATTTTGGGAGAACTGTAGTAAAATTTCTTTCTCGAATTTGCCCGCCTTAAAAACGCCCGTGGAACGGCATCCTATAGGATGTCACACACGCTGCACTCGCTATTCCAAAATTCTTTACTTTGCGCCCTTGTAAAACGAGGTTTTTGCTTTAAACGTTTCTCTGACACGATTCTGAACAGTTTGATGTTAATATCATAGAGATACACTTCATTTGAGGGGAACTGTAATAAAAAGTTCCTTCTCGAATTTGCCCGCCTTAAAAACGCCCGTGGATCGGCATCCTATAGGATGTCACACACGCTGCACTCGCCATTCCAAAATTCTTTACTTTGCGCCCTTGGAAGACAAGATTTTTACGTATTTTTACTTAAAACGTTTCTCTTCTACGATTCTGAACAGTTTGATGTTAATATCATAGAGATACACCTCATTTGAGGGGAACTGTAATAAAAAGTTCCTTCTCGAATTTGCCCGCCTTAAAAACGCCCGTGGATCGGCATCCTATAGGATGTCACACACGCTGCACTCGCCATTCCAAAATTCTTTACTTTGCGCCCTTGGAAGACAAGATTTTTACGTATTTTTACTTAAAACGTTTCTCTTATACGATTCTGAACAGTTTGATGTTAATATCATAGAAATACATTTCATTTGGGGAGACCCGTAATAAAATATCTTTCTCGAATTTGCCGGCCTTAAAAACGCCAGTGGATCGGCATCCTATAGGATGTCACACACGCTGCACTCGCCATTCCAAAATTCTTTACTTTGCGCCCTTGTAAAACGAGGTTTTTGGTTTAAACGTTTTTATTACACGATTCTGAATAGTTAGATTTCTATATCATAGAAATACATTTCATTTTGGGGGAACTGTAGTAAAATTTCTTTCTCGAATTTGCCCGCCTTAAAAACGCCCGTGGATCGGCATCCTATAGGATGTCACACACGCTCCACTCGCCATTCCAAAATTCTTTACTTTGCGCTCTTGGAAGACCGGGTTTTTGGTTTAAACGTTTTTGTTACACGATTCTGGATAGTTTGATTTCTATATCATAGAAATACATTTCATTTTGGGAGAACTGTAGTAAAATTTCTTTCTCGAATTTGCCCGCCTTAAAAACGCCCGTGGATCGGCATCCTATAGGATGTCACACACGCTGCACTCGCTATTCCAAAATTCTTTACTTTGCGCCCTTGTAAAACGAGGTTTTTGCTTTAAACGTTTCTCTGACACGATTCTGAACAGTTTGATGTTAATATCATAGAAATACATTTCATTTGGGGAGACCCGTAATAAAATATCTTTCTCGAATTTGCCCGCCTTAAAAACGCCCGTGGAACGGCATCCTATAGGACGTGACCAATAGCGCTCCCCCGAAACCCAGAATATTTCATTTTCCGTCTTGAGAACTACAACTGTCTACCAAAAACGTTTTATCTCATAACACTGATGGATTGTAACCCAACACAATGAAGTAAAAGTTCACTTTGATCAATTTAACTTCGCCTTATTTCTTATTCGTCTTCGATGTATGCGGAATTAGCTGGAATTATTTGAAAATTTGCGTTTGTTATATCAAATAGTCGTTAATATATGTTCGAGTTTCGTCTATTCATCTTCCGCTGTATCAAAAAGGGGGATTTTTTTTAATTTGATCGAAAATATAACGGTTACTTGCACAGATAGTTGTGTAGCCTATGGACCGCCATATTGCCCGTACTATAGTACGAAATTCAGCGGGTGATGCCCGCGTAATTTGGTCCATTTTCAGCGGGTATCACCCACAGGAGTTGCGTGAATCGGGTGCATGTCAGCACCATTTTTCACAATCAATTGCAATAATCCGATCTCCGATTGTATATAAAGAAAAACTCAATCGTTAGCCTTTTCATTTTTTTGAGGAGTCAAGTTAAGATGGCCTCTGGCAGAGGTAGTAGTTATCTAGGGAAGTCAATATTTGATCCCAACAAATGGCTTGCAGAGTTCCGATCTTCAAAAAATTTTAAACAGCAAAGGATGGAAATTATGCAGCAAACACTCGAGGCTTGTAAAAACTTCAAGTATTCACTTGTAGATGGCACTGAGATTACTTTTGCAGATCATCAAAGTGTTTCAAGAGAAGTAAGGAAAACAGTCCTTCACGAGGAAGAGATTTTATGTAACCCAACTGAATTTGAAAAAGGTGCAAATCTTCGTGATCAGTGGAAAACTGAAATAATTGTTGTGAACGCTGATTGTCTCGAGGAAGCAATACGGTTAAAGCATGAGGGTTATAATCCAGCTGTGTTAAACATGGCCTCATCAAGAAGACCAGGTCAGTGCAGCAAATGCATGTAATAGTTTATACATTGAAGTGGTGTCCGCCAAAATGGTAAAGTAATTAATTAAAGTGATAAAAATGACATCATCATCTTTATTATCATCGTCATCTTTAAACAGGGTGCATTTTCACAAAGTGGTTTTCAACGTGGCCCTGGTGAGTTAGTTAGTGTGAGTTATCACAAAGAGGTGACCCTAATTTGGAAATTCCAATTTTTGACCATTGCATGTCAATGAGTTAGACAGTTTTTTCGCTCTCAATATGTTCAAATTGATTCCTGGAAATCTCCACTGCTTTCAATTAAATGTGGTGTTCCTCAGGGTTCTGTGTTAGGGCCACTTTTATTTCTTATATACATTAATGACATTTTTTCATGCTCTAATTATCTCTCATTCATCCTTTTTGCAGACGACACTAATATTTTCTTTCAACACAAAAATATCTCTGAACGAACTAAAATTGTGAACCATGAACTTTCTTTTGTGGCTACCTGGTTCAAAGCTAACAAGCTAACTTTGCATCCCGACAAGACTAAATTTACTTTATTTCACCCTGCAAGAAAGAAAATAAATCTTGATGGTCTTTCTATTAGCATTGATAAGAATAGTATTAATAGAGTAGAACACACAAAATTCTTAGGTGTTATTAACCATCAAAACCTCTCATGGCAGGCTCATATAAAAGCGATTTCTTCCAAAATTGCCAAATCCGCTGGGATTATTATCAAATCACGACAGTTTTTCCTTTCTAATACTCTTTGCACATTATACAACTCTTTAATACTCCCATATCTTCAATACTGTTCTATTATTTGGGCATCCACTTACTTTTCTCATTTACAACCCCTTTTCCGTCTCCAGAAGAAAGCTTTAAGAATCATTACTCATTCTCCACCATGTGCACATACTTACCCGCTCTTTAACAAATTCAAAATACTCAACATATTTAATATTATTTTATAAGTACCAAGTTTCTTGCTTTGTTTTCCTTCACATGCAGAAGCTCTTGCCCTCTCCTCTTTCATCTCTCTTCGTTCTTAACTCTGATTGTCTTCAATATCTCACCAGGCAAAAAGACAACTTACATCTTCATACTCACAAATATTCTTTTTCTCTTCGGGTACAGGGTCCTCAAATTTGGAATGACATTCCTCTCTCACTTTGTAATTCACTTACTCTTTCTAGTTACAAACATAAACTGAGAGATTATTTTTCAATCATTATAAGTTTAAACTAAGTTGAACTCCAATTTTTTTTTCTCCCTTCAAACTCTTTTCTTTATTACTTTTTGCACACTATCATTAATTATGTTTATTTTGCTTTATATACAGTAATAATTCTTTATATGTTGTAATAGTTTGCCCTTTCTTTGTAAATTTTGTACTTATTAATTTTTATTCTCATAATTTGTAACTTAGCAGCACATTGTAACTCTCTGACCTATGCCATATAAGCCTCTGGCTTTGGCATCTTATTATCATTAACTTGTGCTTTGTGTACTTATATATCAAGAAACAAAGAATATGTAGATGGACAGGATCTTGTTTACTGTAGGTAATGTCGACCGATATATCGGTCGATAGAGCGGTTGATATAGCGATTGACAGTAGGTCGACAGTCGGTCGATGGTCGGTCGACAGTCGGTCGATAGTCGGTCAACAGCCGGTCGATAGTCAGTTGAGCGTGGGATAGACTATCGGCCGAGCATCGGTCGATATCTCGATGACGCACCTCGACTTACTATCGGTCATGTGTCGGTGATATATCGGTCAACTGTCGGTGGTATATCAGTCAACTGTCTGTGGTATATTGGTCAACTGTCGTTCGAATATCAGTCAAGTGTTAATATAGCAGGTGAGTCCAATGGCTTTCCTTTTGAGCAAAGACATCATTAATTACTGGTATCATGCGAAAAATGTCCAAAAATGCGAATTTTTCAAGAATCTCCATGTGTCAATGGGGGTAATCGGTTCATATTTCAGTAATTTTGCTCCAATTTCTTCTCCAGGGCTATTGATAATGGACTAAAAACTATACAGACCGACAAAACTCTCGACCGATATGTCGGTCGACTATCGGCCGACACTTGACCGATATATCGAACGGCTATCTTCTGACTATCGACCAAGTGTCGACCAACCATCGACCGAGTGTCCACCAATTTTACTGACCGATACATTTGTCAAGTATCGACCAACTATCGGCGAAAAGTCAGCAAAGTGTCAGTGAATGAAAAGCTATATCGGCCGACACACATCTGGAACGACTGTCGACCGACTATCGACCGACAACCGCTATATCGACCGACTATCGACCGAGTGTTGGTCGCTATATCGACCGATATCTCAGTCGACACTACCTACAGTAAACAAGATCTGATGGACAAGGTGTTATACAATAACAATGATATGTTGATAGTAATAACTTCTGGTTTTGTTTCACCTTGCAGGTGGGGGATACTTATCTGGAGCTGGGGCACAAGAAGAAAACTTGTTCCGTCGAACAAATTATGTTCAACATTTAGCCGACCCGGACAATGAATTTGACCCTGAAAGAAAATGGTCGTACAGACTTCCAGAATTTTCATGTGTCTACTCCACGAATGTGTTCATCATACGAGCTGCAGAGGCAGAAGGTTATGCATTTCTTCGTAAACCAATTGCCATGTCATTTGTCGCTTTATCTGCGTACTGCAGTCCAGCTTTAACAAAAGACAAGCAAAGGCTCATTCCACAAGTTGCAGAAAATACAAAGCGAAAAATCCGCTGTATGTTAGCTACAGGACTGTATCATGATCATGACTCACTTGTTCTATCAGCACTTGGTTGTGGGGCATTTAGAAACCCACCACGTCACATGGCTGAGCTTTTTAAGGAAGTTCTTGAAGAAGACGAATTTGCCAACAAATACAAGAATATTTCATTTGCAATTATCGATGATCATAATGCAAGAAGAGAAGGAAATTATCAACCATTTAAAGAGGTTTTTAGTCAATAATAAACCTTAATGCAATAGGTATAATGCCAACCTGAAAGCAAGGTAAAAAGGCAAAGTGCATGCCCAGGTGGACACTCAGTCTCAGTCACCACACAGTAGGTAAGTGAACCTCAGCATGTAAAAATATAACAATGATACATTTTAAAAAAAGATCAAATAACTTTTGTTAATCACTCTGATTCTCAGTGGTGATATGAAGGGCAAAAATGTTCACCTGCCTACTGACTCCACTCATCTGAAAGCTATGCAAATAGTTGAGTGATGTTTTTAAGTATGCAAATGCTTTTGTAGAATAAAACTTTTGTAGAAATATCAATGTCTGTTGAAAAGCAAGGTTGCTGGTAAGAGTATATACAGAAACTTGGCAAAATAATAATTTCCCATTAATTCCATTTATATTTAAACCTTTAACCTGTCCATATTTCACTTCAAAGATGTATAGTGGCTAATAATATGGAGACCGGTAATTCCACAAGATTAATATTATAATTTTCAATACTTGTTAATCTACTTGCAGATTAGTAAATAATCTGTAGGGTGTGCTGATTTCCACAATTAACTGTAGGCTCTTAGCCAATGAAAAGGCAGGTATTGCGCACTGTCAATGTATTATGGCATGAAGTTTTAAGACTTTTTTATTGACACAATGACCCTACATTCCGACTCTGATGGTAATTCCTATAACTAACCTAATGTTCACCTTTGATAATTTAAATACAATTATTATTCATTCAAAATATTTCCCCGATTCTGATTGGCTAAAAGCACACGCATAATTCACCATAACCAGCTACTGATGACCAAATTTGGAAGAATTTTGCAATTAATGAACCGATGTCCACGTCAAAAGTGCAGCCTTCATGCAGGTTAATGCAACATTAACCGAGAAGACCTGGGGGCGAGGTTGAGTTGTTTTGGTTGTGAAAACAAAAATGGTGTACATTTCACTTGTTTCATATTAATAACTAGGCAAAATAATAGCTAAAACATGGCAAGAACAACAAGAAGACAACTCAAAGGGCAGCATCTGCTATTTGGAGAATATTTGCGGAGCTGAACGACCCTAAACGTGCACTATCAAAGATGAACTTAACATCAATGGAGGTAAACTTGTTTTAGCTACGTTTTTAAACTAGGAATTATTTTGAATGAATAATAAAACAATTATTGAATTCTGCTCTCGTATAATCATGAAGAATAATGGAGATCTCGGAGGGTGTTATCGGCTGTCCTCGTACATTTACGAATGTGGAACAAACACAATAAATAAAGTCTAAAATAAACATCTTTTCTTTTGCATTGGGTAAATGACACACTCTTCTGACACTCCACACAAAACTAACTGTTATTCTTGTCACCAAACAAACTGCAGTTTAGAGATAATGTTTGAGCTTGTTGCCAATTTACATTTTAAAACACTTCAACCAAAATGCTACAAAATACTGACAAACACTCCAGGAGTCAATCAGCACCAGAGGCACTTGCCTGCTTCAGGATTTGCTGTACAACATAGAGTATTGATACATGGCTTTCTTCATCAGGTATAAGGTATTACACACTAGTTACTTGGACTATAAAAAATAGCTCCATCACTTATTTCTGTGTAATATTCCCTCTTAAGCTGTACATTCATTTAACAAAAACCGATCATCTCTGGGTTGAGTTCCTAAGGCTGACTCAGCCCGAGGAACTAGAGATTTGCCTCATTAACACATCATCTATTGAACTGCAGGAGTCGTTATTTTCATGAGGTGAATGAGGCTCCACTTGTTCACTGGTAATAGATTTGTCATCACAGCTTTCTTCTACAGACAGGTGGGATTCTGACCTCAGTCTTCCATGCCTGTGTTCAGGGCACTATACATTGGCAAAAACAGTCCACTTAGAATATGGAATTTTTACTCAACATACAACATACTGTTTGTATATATGTATGGCTGCATATTTTTAAGAATAATGACGTTAAAGATTATTTTGTTTGAAAGTAAACAACATGGAACAAAACTGATCACTGAGAAGCTCCTATCACACTACGGAATACCAATCATTCCTTTCAGGCCCACACATGGTGATTAAAATCATTTAAAATTATGCTTAAAAACATCGTGCATATCATTGTAATATGGCATACTTACTTTCTGAAGATGATTAACAGCATCTTCTTTCTCAGTTGACCAATCTGGGTGATTTGCAACAATTATGGTGCGCATCAATACATCTCCAAGTGTACCTGCGGCACTTCGCGCTCGGTCAAAGTACTCTTTTGTGAAGGCAATATCATAGTCTTCTTCATTGACTGTTGCACGCTGCAGTTCATTCACTGTTCTTCCTTTATTCTCATACTTGGCAAATTTAACAACCAGTGAGCCAGGATTAGTGTGACCTACCTGCCAAGTTAGACACTTGTGGTTATTAAAGACATTTAATAACATAACAAAAGAGATTGGTCAATTACCAATTTACTATTAAATTTTTTGCTCATGGGTGAATGCTGATGAAAGCTACATGTAGCTCAAGCTCAGAGCAGTTTGCATCCCTTCCTACAGGACTATATTTTGTTTTCACCTTATAGTTATTGTCACGTGAGGTATTTTGTCTTAAATGAGACAAGTATGCAAAAACCGTTTAAGATATCATAGTCTTTATAATCCACAATGAGATGGAGAATGTGACTTCATTTTATGCAGTAGAACATAATTGCCGATTCAGAGCCTTTATTTCTCTGGTTTAATCTTTGCTGCTCACCTGGTAAAAGAATTCACCAACTGTCATTCTAATATGCTGAGGTGGCACCAGGTGAAGGACAACTTTACCATTACGCAAACAAAGAGGAAAATTCTGCAAAGATACAAAGATATCTGAGTTCTTCATTTTACTTAAAGAACCACCTTCCAGTTTGAGACTTATGATTAGTTTGTTGCTCTTAAAGATGGCAGTAGATTAACAGCATTGAATGAGGTTGAGTATTATGGAGAAGGAGGAGTTGTTGCCACCTACTAAGTTATTCCGAGCGAAGAGGTGAAGCAAGTTTACAATGTCGTCGCGTGCAAAGTGTGAACACATCATGTGAACCTGCATGTGGTCTTAGCCAACGGCAAAATTGCAAGGCCCATCCACAGGGGAACCTGAATGCTGTATTAGCTAATAAAATAATTAGATGCATTTAAGCTGTATTAGCTAATAAAATAAGATGTATTTACCTGCATTCCTGTGTCTTTATGAGCTGTTGTGGAAGGAATTTGAATGTGATCAGAAACGGTTAACATTGCCGGTATCAAATGTTTGCTTGTCTGGCGAATTGTATGCGACAGTTACGTCTCAAGTTAACTATTGACTCTCCTTGGGAGACAATCTCAGGTTTCAATATTGTTGAGACATAACTGTCTCATCCTGCATCCTATGTATGACGCACCAGACAACCAAACACTTGATACTGATACTGGCAATTGTTAACCGACTCTGATCACGTTGAAATCCTTTCCAAACCGACTCATAAATAAAGACTCATGAAACACAGATAAAAAACAACTGATTAATTTATTAGCTGAATACAGTGTTTGGGTCCCCTGTGGCTCTTATGTCGCTTGGTGTCTGACAGTGACATCATGCAGCGTTATGTAATGGAGCGTTTTGTGTTTCCAGGCAACATAGACTTTGCTACTGATGACCAGGGTGCACTTTTATGTTTTATTCATGAAAGGCTAATGTGTTTGTAATTCATTGTCTGTGAAAGAATGTTTACGATTGGTGAATCACCAGCAATTCCCCATGCAAATGACACAGAACAGGAAGCACAACAAGTGGCTGGAAATCCTCACCGAGGAAGATTTTCCACCAAAACTCCTCTGGAGAACACTGATTAAAATTCATTGGCAAGAGGATCGAAGAAGACAACCACCAAAATAGCACAGTGAAGGCAACGTCGTCAACACAGCAACCTGCACAAACATGTACAGAGGCAGTGACAAAACACTACATACACTGTAAACAAAACTGATGAAGAGAGGGAACACCGACTGCCGACACTTCAAAAAGCGACCAGAAGATCAGGCAATGCTTGAAGTTTACATTCAAAATTATCTTCTTCAATGCAGTGATAGGCAGCAAGTCAGTTACATGATCTGTACAATGCACATCAAGAATATCTTTCCACCAGACTCTGGACACCAATCAGCCTTTATACACCTTGAGTAACAATGGGTTTTGCAGTAAGCTTTATTTTACAATGAACAGTTTAGAACACCGATAATGTGTGGCATGTATAGGGAAGCGTTACATTTGAAAACCAAATACTTGCTGTACAAATTTTCATTTACAATAATTTTCATTACATTTACTCCCAAAACCATCCCAAGTAAAATATATTATATATATATTATCTATGTATACCTAAACACAGCTGTGTCTTTTAAGTCAAGCATAACAAAAATTTATTATTGCTGCATGGCCTTAAGCCTCCTTTTTTCAATCCTTCGAAAAGAACATCTGTATTTTGGATCTCGATCCTCATAATATTTGTGTGTGACATTGTGTCCCCATGCAAGGAAAATTAATTCTTTTCCTCATAAGGTACAATTTAACAAGTCAGGGAATTTCAGTATAACTCAGGGAAAATTTAACTCTTATAAAGAAGTCAGAGGGAAGTGACATATTCCTGCATATTCACCAAAACATGTTCTAATGGCAGAATATTGTTTCAAGAAATGAAACAACAAGCAGATATAGGGCTTCCTACAAGATCCATCCATTCTGCCCATAATTTACATTCATGATAAATTGATGTAATAAATAGGTGGACTGCAGGATGGCTGTGATGTCTGTGATGGAAGTTTGGGGATTATTTTTTCCTGCACACAGATGACATATGAAGCAAAAGAACAAAAAGCATGAAACAGGACCGATAAAAGCAGATTTTCCCAGAACAGAAAACAAAGAAGTCCTTTGTTTTACATAATCTGTGTCCAATCCACGAAGTTCTGACTGGAATTTGGAATTCATTAATATCTGGACGAATTGTCAATTCACTTGGTGAGTTAAAGTGGGCAGTACATTTGACTGTCAGTCTGAGAATTTAAAAAACTATGCCTCTGGGGACCGTGTCTCAACAAGCTCATGCACGTTGAGAATTGAAAAACGGATCACCTTCAACACTACTTATGTGTGGACATTTCATACAAATTGGTTCTTCCAGAAAAAATCCACACCTTCCCCCTGACAGATGGCACGGTTTTTTGACCCCCCCCCCACAACTTCCACCTGAATTTCCAAAACTGCTTGAGCCCGCCCTCCCCTTAGGATTTCCAAGTTCAAAGACCCCCCACAACTAACTGTTAACACTTTCATAAATGATTTGGTATTTTTTACAGGGATAATTTTCAGTGCCAATGAGAGTACCACATATTCAATAATCATGAGTGATGATCACTTTCAAAATTATCCTCAACTGCATCCTTAATGACACAGCCTGGGACCAGTCTCCGCAGTGGGAGAAAAAGGCAAAAAACAGGATCAAATAGGAAAAATATCACACTGCTACATTTGTATTTTCTAGTTTAGTGTAAGTGATAATGTTTGCGCCTTACTGTTGCAAACAATAAGTTTATTAGTTGTCAAATGTGATTAATAATAGTATGTACTACATTCAAGTGCAAACGCTCTCAGTAGTTCACTTAACAATGAATATTTTTATCTCCAATTACAATGCATTTACTTCTTATTTTCACTGCAGTATTATCTCCTACCATTTCATCCACTCACTACTAATGACACACTTTACAAGTATTTATTATTACACATTTAAGATAGCATGGGTTAGCTGCATATTCGCCTACAGCTATAATCACTATTAGTTAAAATCACACCCATTTTCTATGATTTTAATTACACATGTAGGAGGGTCCAGAAAATCCATCTTAATGACAGAGCACTGGGTTGAAAACCCAGGGGCCGGGGTTGAAAAGTACTCCAACCAAAAGGAGATTAACTACGTTTCACCTTCCAATATTAGAGCCAGTGTTGAAACTTGCCCTCCCAAGCTACATAGTTTACTCCAATTCTCTCCCCCTTCCATCCCTGACATTTTATGGGCCTTCCCCTGAGCGTAATTGTGAGGTTCTGTGATACACATATTTCTAGTTAGTAGGTGACACTGGGTTGTTGTCGTGTCCTTCTCTAATAGCACGACCCTCCATCCACTCTTCTGAAGCCTTTCAAATTTTTCAGCCAGAGTAGATCCCACACTTCTCCAGCAGATATCACAACAATCAGTGACATAAAAGCACTATGTAGATGGCACTGGCTAAATATGATGTTAGGGGGGATCTTAACTTTCTGAGAGCTCCCAGCTGGTTCATCACCATCTCATTAACATGTTCTTCAAACGTTGGACTACTCATGCTCATTCTTATGAAGGGGCATGTACCACCTTTTCTCAGTTATATTCCCCTAAATATATCTTTGGTATTTGACTTTTCAAGGACAAATGAAAAATATATAACACCCTTTATGTCATTTTCATGAGTAATAAAATGTATTTCAAAAAGTAGAACTTTCACTGACATACCTCATCTTTTAACCTTTTAAGAAGACTCAGTGTGGGACGAACAAAGTGGTTTGTAAAGAAGGCAAAGTCATTGTTGTATCTCTCACTCAAGAGACGTTTCAATCCCTCCTTCACAAAATGGCTTTTTGTATATTCACACTGGTAATAACGATAGAAATCTCCAATAAAATCCTATGAGAGATTAATAATTGTTATTAACTATTTAGAATTATTATAAGGACTAAATAAATTGTAAGATTACATAGTAATATTCTCACGCACTCAAAATAATTAATTGAAAAGTCAATTGAATTTCTTGTTTGGTCTTTAAAAATAACGGTAATAGAACTGAGTGGCATAGGCGTACGGGCCGGGGGGGCGAGGGGGGCTGCAGCGCCCCCAAAGTTTGGGCAACTCAGATTTTTTGGGCAGCAAGAGAAAATTTGGGCAAAGCCAGTTTTTAAAGACGTTTCCATGTTTTTTATTATTATCACATGATGAGTTTCTGGTTATAAGGGAAGGGTATCATATGCTGGTTTTTTTTTTGTTGGGCACCGTACTTCACTGTACTAGCTGGAGTGGGCTATTTCCAGTCATGAATTGATTAGAATAATAACTTTCTAGAATCACCTCCGCTCCTAGAACAGTGTGTGGCAGAACAAGCATCAGCAATGGGTCTGAAAGTGAAGTGGCTGACTAATACTCAGTTTGAATTACGAGAAGAATCTCAATTTTCTTAAAAAAATCTATCGAGTGGTTTAAAAATTATTCACTAATTTGTTTAAGTAGACCGAAATGTTTAGGAAACCCCTAACAAGATCGAGCGCTAATCAAATCCTTCCTTATAGCAATTGGCAGGAGCTATCTCCATGATCTTTCATACACGTTTTTAATAAGATTGAAACTACTGTGAGGTGAAATTGCATGTCAAAAGCGCTCCGTTTTCTTCAGATTATGACTAAACATCAAGATTTTCCTTTTTTACCTTATTTCTAACAATAAAAACTTCATCCCAAAATATCTCGATAACGCTCTTACAGTTCCGTTTTAACTTCACGAACATCGAGGCGACTATTGGAGGAAAGAGCTCCCCTGAACGATTTTGTAAGAACAGTTCCCAGTGAGAAATATTGCTGCAAGAATAATAGGTAATGGCGTCATTTCGTTGCTATGACAGCTCCGATGTCATTGCAATCCTGATCATGACAAATTTCCCTCTTTATCTAATACAACTAAAAAAAACTATGTGGTTTATTGGTGTTGAAGTAGAGCAAGAGACGAGTGCACCCCCTCCTAAAAAAAAAATCCTGGATCCGCCCCTGAAACTGCGGTGGCAATTTTTTCCAAATGCTTGTTTGTGGCGACGTAGTTTATGCTCAAACTTGGCAGGTCTTAACTCTGAAAACCTGTATCGAGCCACCTTCATATGCCAGTACGGCCTATTTTGTTGCATGGCCCTAGTTTCCTTTCGACTGTTTTGTAAAAATTTGGGCAACTTGGAAGAATTTTTTGGGCAAATGGATTACCGCCCCCCCTGGCAAAAAATTGCCCGTACGCCTATGCGGAGTGGAGTCATACATACTGTCTGATTACCTGTAGGCATGAAGCATACTTTCCTATACTCAGTCCTATTAATTTTGAAATAAAGCTGCTGACTATAGCCAATCAGATTATAGAATTTTGTTGTAGTTACACCTAATTGAAATAACCTCTTAGAAAAATGTAAAAAAGGAAAAAGCCAAAACAGGAGTTAATTAGGATTATAAGCCTAAATTTTTGCAGCATCTGCACATGGACATCTTATTTGCCTTTTGAAATTGGCTAATTGAAAAACAATCTAGCGGGAAATGAAACAACTGCAAATAAATCCACGCTGAGAAGGCAATATTATTAATAATTCATATTTGGCTTTTTCCACTTTTCCGTTTTTCTTTGACAATGTTATTGCAATTAGATGTATGATTAACTAGCCAAAAAGTTTAACCACAGGTGGCCAAAGGGTTATATGAGAGTTAAGCTAGAGTTTGTATGGGAAGTAAAACTTACCCCAGGAATAAAGAATCAGTAGAATATAAATATTTGTTACTGGCTGACAACTTTTTTTTTCAAAGTTTTAGCGTGATTTGAGAAAGGTACCATCATCTAACCTGACAGTGTAATCATGTTCACTGCTGGTATTTTTGCCCATGGGGTACTTCCAAGAGGGGTACCTTTTTCAGTCTTCAGGTATATGGAGAGTGGTAGGGATTTCACTAGTTGAAGTATATGAAAGGGTAGGTAAGTCTGTCATTTCTGTGTGTAAAAAGGCACATGTAGGCTGGCAAATCCATTTTATGGCTTTGAAAAATTCTGGTCTTGTGTTTTATTGATATTTTAAAGACAGTGCAGCAGCTAAAAAGAATGTAAAGCTCGAAAAAGGGTGGGTGGTACCATTAATTTTGTCAATAGAAGGTATAGGAAAGGGATACCTTTCTGTTTAAAATGATATATAAAAGGGTAAGAGGTTAGAACTCGAGGCGGAGTCTTAAAAAAAATATTCTTGAGTAACCACCCGCCTCCCCGGGGTATTTTTGCCACTCTCGTCAGGAAGTTCCACTTTTTCTTCGGATCATAACTGTGAAATCGTCCGCCAACGATGGCTGGTTATGAAGGATTAGCTAGGGATTTGAGGCAATTAGAGACAGACAAATATTTTGAATGAATATTAAATAACAGTAATAAAGCTTACTTAAGCGTAAATACCTCTGACCAAAACAGCAAACTCCCTTCAAGTATTCATTTCGTTTTTGCTACCTTGTTTTGACCTATTTAAATGTACCCAATCAAAATCGGCTCCTGATCCAATCCTAGTGAATTCTGGACAATAGCAATGTTTTGGCCAAGAAAAAGACAAACTGAGGTTACTGGGTAAAATAGCACGTCACTTTACAAATGTATGTAAGTCCTTGTGGTTTCCATTGTCATTTTCACTTAAAGCGTTGAGTATAAACCTTTATAAAACAAAAACCTATTAAGCTTACTACCCTCCTGAAAGAAATTTATTTCATTTGTGGAGCGTAACTTACGTCCAAGCTTTGTTGAGCCATTCTAATTCCCCTTAGGCTTTCAATATTGCTTCACTGTAGCGTGCAGTATTCCGGAAGTGCGTGTCGTGTCGATCCTCTCTTCTGGCGACTATTCCATCGATCTAACCAGCCAGCAAACCGCGAATTCAACAAGACAACGCTATGTTTTGATGCAAGGGTGAAAAAAGTGTTGTAGCTTCCACTGAAAAGCCAAATCATTGGCCAACAACGTTAACAGATCCAATCTCGGTCGTTTCACTTTGCCACTTTGGCGCGTGTTTATTTCTCCTAATCACGTGATCGGCACTAGCATAGAGGGGCTGCTGAACAAGCGTAAAGTCAATTTTGCATCGCTTTCAGTTTCATGATGTTCGTGGTGCTTATGCAAATGTAATTGCAGAAAGGTAAACTTAACTTTCATTTTCTATGGCTTGCTGAAAGTACCCATACGTCACGCGCCTATACTATGCCTGGTGTATTCAGTTCCGGTTTACTACCAAACTTCAATTCGTGAAATTTCGGCGGAGTGACGATTGTTTTAAGGTACCCTTGGACAAAACAATCAAGGTAAAGAATAAGTTAATCCCGGATTCACTAAACTACCTTGTATTCCATGTAGGCTTAATCCCGGCTGAGGTCGAGAACCGTTTGGCAGCCGATACGGCCGAACATCGAATATGTAGTCTCCGGACTGAGCAGCTAGTTCAACAATAGAAGTTCAGAAATTTTCTTGTAAATCTGTAGCCTGAACGTCATCCGATTGCTTCGAGTCGTTTTCTCCTCTCAGCCTCGAAGTAATCGGGTGAAATTCAGGCTAGTAAATCAGAAACTTTACCTATTTAGCTCTACAATTATTCTATAAAAATTCATTTAATTTTGTTTGCACTGTATAAAAAATTTACACAGGAAGTTACTTCCTCTATTTCTGGAAACATAAATCTTGTCATGGACTTGCAGCAAGGATAAGGGAGTAGTCAGACAACCGTTCATTTATTTGAATTTTTTTAAGCTGGCTCTTTGAGATGTCTTTTCCTTTGCATTTGAAACTATTTACGAAAACATGAAAAGCATACTTATTCCGTTCTATTCAAAGGCTTTTCTCTTTTTCAGATACAGTCACGTTACAATGTTTTCCGAGCGGGAAAAACGGATCAAGCAAAAGAAATCAAAACTTGTGTTTTCTCATTACTTCTCTTTTGTAACGTTGCTAAAAATATAACAAAAATTTGCCTGACACGTTGATGCCTAGTGGAAAAAGAAATAAATGATAAAATATATCTTTGTCAGGAAGTTTTATACGTTAAAGTTCCATAAACTTCAGTTTCCAAAAGGTTCCAGAATGCATTTTGCTGCTTTCATAAAATTTCTATAAACAATAAACTGACGAGATACTGATAGATTATTTAAAGTATCGGACCCTACAAAGCTCTGAATTTAGAGAATTTCACAAGCTCTCGTTCCCTACGGCTTAACGTCTCACTACGCAGTACTGTTGATGGCCCATTTTACCCTTGTATGTGCAAGTCGTCTAATACAATAAGCAAATAGGGAGGAAACGGGTATGAGGAAAAGACAGGACAATCATCTCTAAGTTTCCATTTACCTTATAGCAGGTTATAGGTTAGAAGGTTATCAACTCGGCTTCGGAAATCATGGGTACAGATCATGATGACGTTCGCTTGCTGCTGTCTCAAGAACTTAAAGATATCCGCTCTAAAATTGTTGAGGGAAAGCTGGTCCTTTTTGTCGGTGAACAGGCATCAATTCTTGTCACTCCAGTTCAGCTACGCCCCTCATTAGATGATTGGTGGCATCTTGTTAATCATCCTGAGGTAAGAGCTTAACCTATCACTGAATGAATGCATTTCACATAAGTTCCAAATTCATTTTTCATGACCGCGATTGATACAAGAGGAGCCACATGCACCGTGAACTGAATAATTGTGTTGCAGCCCAAGAAGGTATAAGGAGTAGTTTAATAAACTATTCGCCTCTGAGCTGCCCGTAACCACCCGTGCGGATAAACATCCCTTCTACCGCTTGTGACGTCATTAGTTTTAATGGTCAAGGACAACTTTGTTCGCCAACTTGAGCAGAGTGAAGAGAACTTTCAAACCATGCTAGCATGAACACAATTCTGTCAAGAACACCGTAGAAAAAGGCAAAAAACAATATAACATTGACCTGAAAATTTCCATGAAAATCTTGTTCCACTACCCACCTAGCTATAGTTTCATCTAATTCTTAGAATAATAGCTATCCTAAAAATTTTTCCCATCAAAATGAAGCCTGCTAAGGCTAAAAGCACGACAGTGACCAGAAAACCGCTCGACTAGCTTCAAAACGCGTTTTTGGGCAAAATTTCTAGGTTAAGGCTACCAAATGGAATGATATCAGTTATCTTGGTCCGTAGGCAGCCGTCACGAAAAGACTTGGATACCGCCTAGACAGTCTGTCTATACACAGATTCGGGACCCTGCTCATTTATTTCTTTATTTTATTTAATCACTTCCACCTTAAGATGCGTATCACACAACTTCATTGACGTGTTTTTCGTTCTAGTTTACTAAAAAATAATTAGAGACCGGCACCTATCAAGCAGAACTAAAAACACTACTGAGGCCAGTAAGAATAAAAGTCCTTCCCAGTGCTGTGAGACGTGACCTACGATTTCTCGTCCTTATCATATTGACTGTCACGAATTGTCTCTGGCTGCCTGGCTCCGCAAGCCTCATGGCTATTCCACAGCCAGTACTCTAATTTACTTTTTTATATTTCATTGTCTTAATTGATTGTTGAGTAAGCGAGTGAGTACAAATTAAGATTGTTGTTGTTGTTGCTGTTTTCATCAAGCTTAGACTCAGATCATGAAAGGGATTAGGACAGGCGTTGTAATCGCTTTTATAATTTTCGCCTGTTCTTTAATTTGCGATCGCTTTTCGTTTATGTTTGTGGCTACTAACCAAGTGTCGTGCGAGAAGATCTCTTCGATCGATCTTTCTCATGGCGTTGGTTTAATTTCGTATCTATAAGCAGAGTGGTGTCAAGGAACTTTTGAACGCCGAAGAAAAGTATTTGGAAAACCTTCAGCAAGCACCATCACGCATTCACAATGCTCTTCGGAATGTTGGAAATTTTCCTTTTATCATTACAACCAATATGGACGAGCTCTTAGAGCGTTTCTTGTGGAAGACAGGAAATGGTGGGGAGAAAATACGATTAGATCAGGTCAGTTGTATATATGTTTTGCCGAGTCCTCAGGTTACGCACTTAGTGTTTGCTATGTTCTCATTTACTTGTAGTTTGCATATTAGTAATCTGATAAATCTATTTGGTGGTTTCTCCGGAAAGTAATGAGTTTTTTCTATACCGTAGACATTCGAAATCTAGTCCATGTTTTCCTCAAAGATATAGGCCAGTTATAGTTTGCATACTACGATGCATATCGGTGCACTGTCATGAAAGCTGTCACGGCAGTGCTGCTTCCTAGCTCTATCAGGTTGTATAGTTGAGTACCTGTTTCACCAAAACACTATCCAGCGACTTCTAAAACCCAGAGGTATGTTCCGAGGAGATCATCGTCTAGTTTGGCCGAGATAAGCGCGATTTTGCGCTCTCGCGACTTCTGTCCCCTCCCTCTCTCCCCATGTTTCTAAGTTACTGACCCCGTATGTATCCCGGTGAATGTTTTTGACGGAAGGAAGTTATTAGCGAGAACAGTTTCTCCACACTGAATTAAAAAATTTAAAAACTTCTCTGAAGAGCATACAACCCATGCTTAATGCTTTTCTTTAGATATCATGCCTTGCTCAATCCTGGCCAGATCTGCGTAGGCACTTGGTGGTCAAGTGCTTTGGCGATGGCGGTTTCAATGTCCGCACATTGGTAAGTTTTTCTAGCACTTGATTGAATTATTGCAGTCGTTCCATGACCTCCTCTCTTTCCTATCGATTATTTTTTTATTTTCATAACGTTTCATAACGATTACGGAGCTACTCAAATGACTTCTTTACACTTGTAATGAGGGATCTCACGACACCAAATACAGCAGTGATTTGTTCTAAGTTTGTCATTTTCTAGCGACCATATTCCCATTGCAGTGTTACCTCCTATTAAATAGTCTCTATCTTGTTTTTTCTTTTTCTAGCCAAACAGTAAGAGATACTTCGAAGAGTTTTGTGGCACTCTTGAAAGCCCGGAAGTTGAATTTTTTCGCCAGGTTTTTAATGACAGATCCGTGCTGTTCCTTGGATGTGACCCGAACCGCGAGGAATACAAGAAAATCTTTCAGAAGTTTGCGGTCAACGCCAAGGTAATAACGACACTTGATCTATTTGGCACGGATCGCAAACACATCCTATGCACAGAATCGGGAACCCATAATTGATCCCAGATAGAATGTAATCCAACGCGATTCGTGTAAGTTTTATACTTTACAAAGACTCGGATTTACGTTGTTGCGTTTAATTTAGGTAATCAGATCAAGAAATATTGCATTCTGCCATGGCTATCATACCTGGAAAACGATGCTTTCAGTGCACCGGCTCGGATCATCTAACTGTTTACCAATCTAAACCTCCGTGAAAGAAAAGCGGAAGATTCCCAGTCTGGATTAAGTGTGGATTCTAGGTAATACATTATTTTTATCTTTTCCGTATTTACAGATGAAGCATTACAACTTCGAGACGTCTGGCGAGTCCGACTTAGAGAAGGATGGAAATCTTCTCACGTTGAAGGCAAATATACATCCCTGGGAATTCGTACAGTTCTTGAGTACAGGGACCATACAAAAAGATATTCAGCCTGGAAAGGTAATGAAGCGGCTGATGTTAAGCAGGGTAAACTCGCATGAAACACCCTCACTAGTATTCCTTAATAGTCCACCTTATTGCTACTTGCTAGTGAAAGGTTCGTATATTTCCTGTTCTCGGCGTTTAGGGTGTGGCAGGTACATTTTACTTTACACGTGTCATCTGTCTGTTTTTCATTTCCAAGGTTTATGAAAGATCGTATTTGCGTATCCAGCGAGAGGAATATCTCCAGCAACAACTTGCATTGGAAAAAATGGCGTCCGAAATAGTATTTCACACCATTTCTATCACAAATGCTCTTTCACCTGACGAGTTCTTCGAACAGGTGTCACGCCCCACCATTCAAAGCATATTTAAGGAAGACCCCTTTGGTAAGTTAACGTTGATTATGTGTACATAATTCACGGAGCACGAAATTACGAAACCACCTCGTAGAAACTCTCGTTGAACTATATTTTGCGAGAATGATTACTTCATTATGCTTCCTGATCATTGCAGGTGTTTACTCTGAAGAGAAAGTTCAGCGGACGATGGATGCCATGAAAGGAAGACGAGATAACCTTATTCAGGTATTATGTTGTGTTTCAAATCGAGGTGCAAATAATTCGTCATGCATCATGTATCATTTTGCGCACGGCTCAAAAAACGTGGTAGGAGTGCCAAATAATGGAGCTCGGAAAACATGTTTTACTGAAACTTTTTTCATGCTGTTCCAGACAATGTTACTACCCGCCGACTAGCGGTGGTTGACCCCGTTGTCAGCCAATCAGGCTGGACCAGAACTACTTAACTCAGTACTTGACCTCAAGATGGATGGACAGTCAGTTTAATCTCTGCCGAGCGTCCGTTACTCTGTAATGGCTTGACTCAGTTTTCGCAAAAAGTTGTGGGAAAGTTATGGTATAGTATCTGCTCATTCAGATGGACTGCTGTCGGTAACTCAGACCTGCTGCAAAGTCTCGGCTATTGACCATAGTATGCCTACTGTCCAATCAGGTTGCTAACTGAATTGTCTTTTTCTTGCAGCTAATTGATGGATCCCGCGAAATTAGTATCACAGCCTTGTTCTTTTACCACGGTGTGAAAAAAGAGATAGAATTGTGGAAAGAGGTAGAAAAATTACCCTCCTCGTCTGACGATCAAAAGAAAAAGCTCCTACAGAAATGCAAAATATCAATCAGTAAATACGCAAAGGCCATATTACGTTGTAAATCTTTGTTGAGGAGTAACAGTTCTTTAGAGATTCGTATTGTGGGTGATCAGGGTGCGTATAATGTGCAAGAGGTGGAAAAAGAAACGTTCGCTCTCATTCGTCTGAAAGGTTTGTTTAACAACGCTATAACATTTCGTGGTTAGAATTTCTTTCACAACATATTTTACACATAATTCAGCGAAAAAACATTATCAATATATATTCTCGGTTTTTTTCCTTGACGGCCCTTGTGGGAAAAGTGACGTTTGCTTCCCTCTCTTTGCTAGGTGGTCAAGATGAAGCAGTTTGTTATGCAGAAACGGCCACTTCTCCAGACGTCCGAAAGTTCGCAAATCACCTCATAAATATCAACGGAGACGTAGTGTTAAACAAGCGAAAAGTCTACGAGAGAAGCCGAGCTAATGCCTGGAATAACGAAGATTCTATACTAAAGCTGGCAACTGCGATCATGAGAGAGAGCTCAGAGATGAAGGAACGCTTTGGTATTGACGCAATTGACGTAAGCAGTATTTTACCAGAAGTTTTAGAGTAAATTAACCTTACATAAACTCACTAGGAACTTCCTTAATCTCGACGCTCTTCAATTGCATGGATTCTTGTAAAATGACAACAGTTGCATGCAACAACAACAGCAACCACCAACCATTTTATTTTGCCAACTTAAAAACAGCATAAATTAAAAATAGATAAGGCAAAAAACAAAACTACTCGGAATAGCAAAAAATTATAAAGTTTACTTTAATAATTAACTTGCTTGTTGAGTCACACAGTATTTAAGGCAGATTAAGTTTATTGCCTTAATTGTCGTTATCACAAGACAAATAAATAAATAAATAACGCGACTAAAAAATTAGCACCGTATGATATTGTTTCCGCATTAAGTGTTTAATATGAGCGGCGCAAGCGGCCACGTCAGTCACAGGATGATTCATGCAAAATGCCAGCGTCAGTTACCAACGCGTTTTCTGCTTTTTGAGGTTATACGCCTACAGGAGCTTCAAATGTTATACGTTTTTGAAGCTTTTAATAGGTTTGCTGTGTATTCAATGGATAGGTGGACGATTTAAAAGCCCTGGAGACACTAACCCGTATTAGTCAGAAGGTGCGAAGTCAACTGGACCCAGGCTACCTCGAGCCGCTTGGTGAAGGTAGCTTTGGTCAGGTGTATCGAGCCAAAAAGAATGGACGACAAGTGGCTGTTAAGATTCTGAAAGAAGTAGACAAAGATAAAGTCAAGTACTTTGAACGAGAGGTGGACACGCTGAGGTCGGTTTATTTGTTTAAAATAAATGCAACGAATTATGATCATGATTATGATTTTGAATAAGGTTTTTAGGAGAGCAACATGTTGGATGATGTTGCTGCTAGCACATTGCAACGTTTTTGCGAATTCTTACTAGCATTACTAAATAATTTGTTAGTTAGGAGATCTAGATCATGCGCACAATTATAACTGAAATCCCTTTAGCCGCTCACGTCAAAGGTAATTAGAAAGGACCATTTGCTTATTGAAATGAAAGGTTCTCCCTGGCCGCTGGTAAATGGGTTATGACATCTAATCTTATGCTGGTCTGCAGGGAGGCAAAGCACCCCAAAATCGTGGAAGTGATTGAATGCATCACGATCCAAAATCAGCTTGCGATTGTAATGGAATTCATGGCGGGAG